TTAGAAATGGTACTTAAAGCCATGGGAATTTATCAAGTGACCGAGGGAGGAGGTATAGATGGAGAAGAGAAGGGGTCCAAAGACAGAACCTTGAGGGACCCCTACAGAAAGAGGAAGTGGAGAGGAGGAGACAGAGTTATAGGTAACACTGAAGGAGCACAGCGATAGGTAGGAGGAGAACCAGGAGAGAGCTGTTTTGCACTCCAGCAGAAAATGCACTCAACTGTTGTGTTCAACTGCTGTTTTGAACTCCAGCAGAAAATTCACTCACGCAGGACAATGATCCCCATCCCCAAAGCGGAAGTGGAGAGGAGGAGACAGAGTTATAGTAATTCTGAAGGAGCACTGCGATAAGTAGGAGGAGAACCAGGAGAGAGCTGTTTTGCACTCCAGCAGAAAATGCACTCAACTGTTGTGTTCAACTGCTGTTTTGCACTCCAGCAGAAAATGCACTTATGCAGGACAACGCCCCCCCCCCAATGTGACCTCCCTCATAAGCTGGTCTAAATTTATAGGGAGATGATCAAATGAACAATTCTTCTCCGCCCCAATTAGGAACTGATAAGGATCACATGGATTTGGGGGGAGGTTGGTCAAAACCAGGCAAGCCACAGACACAGGTCAAAGTCATAAAAGATTATTGATTCTCTGATCACAGAAAGGAAAAGGAGGTGAGAATCAATCACCACAAACAAACAAAAAGATATAGGACTAATTATCCTGAGTTTTGCAGAAAGTCAGTGTGTAGCAGGGAGACAGTTTAAGGTAGAGATCACATAACAGCATTTACCTGTGAAAAAGCAGAGAGGACATGATCACAGCATTTACCTGTGAAAAAGCAGAGAGGACATGATCAGGGGGATCTGTTCAACTGCTGTTCTGCACTCCAGGACAGGACAATGTTCCCTGTCTAGGACTGTACCCCCCATCTACATAATAACTGGTCACTCCCCTTAGTATCCTGGGCTCACAGGCAGTGAGTTAAATGATGCTGGTCATCATTAACCCCTAAAGAGATCAATGAGCAGATAAGTCTGCAGGGGAAACCGCCCAAGAAGAGGTAAGTATAGCAGCTGGGGCTGATTTCTTTTCTTTTTAAGAGCTGTGAGGGATCCATATTAGTATTATTTGGACAGGCTGGAGTTGCATATTAATAGAATTACAAGAGAATGCTGCACAGAGAGTGGTGTCTAGGGATGACCTGAATGTACCTGGGTTTGGTGAACTTTGCTGGAATTTGAGTACTGAATCCAAACCCCATTGAAGTCAAAAGCGGACAAATGTTGAAAACCAACAATGGCCATTTTCTAGGCTTATAGGCAAGGGATTGCCAAACAACTAGCATGGGAGAGCAGGGCACTGCCCTGGAGAACATTGGGTGAGGTGGAGAGGACACTGTGAGATTACAATCTCCACCTCACCCAATCAGAGAATGCTTTGCATTCATGAGAAAATGCAAAGTATTCTCTGAATGTCATCATGCCAAGCAAGTGACTCCTTACTGTATGTTTACTAAGCAACAGGGAAGTCACTTGGCACAGAACCCAGAAGTTATCACTAAACACTGTAGTAGCGGTGCCTACTACAGTGATTTCCAGCTTCCACAGGGATCGGTCAGGTATGGCACATACATACTTGCATTGGTCAAAGATATAACTATGCAAAATATGCATACTGTACCTAAACTTCAGCTTTAGAGTGCCTATTCTGCACCATGGAGCCCATGATTCTCACCCAGCAGTTTCTGGGTTTCCACTAAAACACAGCATCTCACACAATGCATTGTAAGTGCCTTGGTGACCAATTGAGAGGCACGTGCATTGACCTGGGATGGGGTATTGCCTTTGATCTACTTTCAAAAACTTGTGTAAGACTTATCAATCTACACTAAATTATTTAATTATGTATTATTCTTCAAGACTAATGGGAATGTACAATATATATGTAAAGCGATGCGTAAAATGATGGTACTATATAAAAACCTGTAGTAAATTAATAAATAGCTTCAGAGTGGAAGATGTGAGTAAATCCCTTTTTCATTGTCCTTAAAGTGTCCTATTAATGTCCTATTTCAGTCCTTTACTTGTATAGTTCTGATGTATACAGCTCCATATGTAGAAACCTGCTCATAATAAAAAAAAATATATATTTTATTTATGCAGGTCATCATTTTAGGATCTATATGTAGAACAGCTGTATACTGATAGATAAATATGCTGTACTCTTTTTATTTAATTTACTCAGTGATAATATTACCATTTCTGCCTTTTTAGAAGAGAAGTATGGCCAAAGCTTTTTGATGCTACTTCAATTTTGGGTTACAGGTGTGCACTTGCTTGTGCTTTCCTGTGACCCAGAATCAGTGCTCGATGTTGGCTGATGTCATAGAGCAACTCGACCACAGAGTCTGAGTCTAGATCCACCCAGATGCCTGGACTGGCAACTACTTAGCCTCTTAGTGGAGCCAGCTGCTTCCGCCCCATCCCCAGTCCCATTCTCCATGTAGCACTGAAGGGGCAAAGCAGAGTGCGGTAACTGACAGTCAATTTTCTCTACTCAAAGCTGACAAAGAAATGAGCAAGCAGTGGTCATGTGATCGCTCAGTTCTTGGGATTAAGGCCGGCAGGACAGTGACACTGTAGTTATAGTGGTGAGTATGTGTGTTTTTTTTATTTCCACATTTTTCCTTTGAACACTAACATATGTGAGCATACACTGCCAATTCCAGTCTGTTTGCGTTTTTACCTGCTTAGAATCATATAATGTTTTGCTATAAACCCCTGACACTGGCACTGCATTGCTCCAAACCATGAACATTTTCTCTTTTTGGTAGAGGTACATTAACTCTTTGCTAAATGTCAGCACCACTTCAGACACCTGTAGAATATGAGGACTGCAGAGCAGTAATCAAAGTGTCAATAAATGCCAACACCTGAATCCACCATGAGGAATATATTTTTAGGTGGTAAAGTTGGAAAAGCCTCGGCCATGTTGCAATCAGTTTTCATATGTAGGTAGTCACAGTGTCAGAGACCCATCATGAGTATGAGCCATAAATAATTAGGCTGACGGACAAAAGTCTTAGTTCTTATTAATAACACACACAAAAGCCTTTTCAAAGGCTTGCATAAAAAACCTGCAGCTCAAAAGAATATTCTGAATCTGGACCCTGTGAGTCCACTTCTGGTTCATCACTGTGACCTCTATTCAATATAATAATATCAATCAACATAATGTTTCCTATGAATAATGCAATACAGACAGAAGATTATAAATTTTTTAGCTGATTCTGTGAAATATGTCATCGTAATCGGCTTGTTGGCCTTGAAATGAAGTGTGACATCGGACACTACTGAAACTAATCTACCTACAATTGTATAATAAGGCCATTAACATTTCAAAGCTAGTAAAGCATAGTGAACACCTAAGAAAGCAAACAGATCTAAATAAAATAACCATTAAATTCCATCATATGTCATTATGGAGCACTCCTGAAACTGCAATTGGAAACTGGTTTGCATTATTTTTGTGCTACACATCACTCAGTTATGGATACAATTCTGTGACTGTAAAGATGTATTAACCTGTGAATAAAATGGCACCGGTCCATTTGTTCTTGGTGTTAGGAGTCTGGTGCTAAAAGTTTAATTGTGAGGTTCCTGGAACCAAAAACACTTATGAATATTGCAGTTGCTTAAAGGAGAAGTGTAGGAACAGAATAAACAAACGCACATACTCACCTCTGTGTTGGGGAATTAGTGCAATGTCACATGACCGCTGATTGCTCAGTTCTCAGTCCACTCTGAGCAGAGAGTGGTGATTGTCAGTCATCATCTCTTTGCTCTGCCACTCCAGTGGATCGCCAGTCTGAGGAGGGGGCAGAAGTGACTGGCTCAGGCTCTGAGTGACGTGCTGATTGCCAATTGGGAACCTGGGTGGATCCCAACATTATTGTCGGAATCCTTCTAGAGCCTGGACTGGCTTAGTGACATCAGCCGACAATAGACTTTAGTCCGCTATTGGCTGGTTCTGGGTCACAGAAAAATTCTGGGTCACAAGAAAAGTGTAGCCAAAAAAGCTTTGGCCATACATCTCCTTTAAAAAACCAACCCAGTGCTTTGTTCATGCACGGCAAAACATTACATTTTCATTAACAAAGTACTCCAGTAATAATTTTTTTTACAAACTTACATTGGTCCAGCTTGGCTCAACATAAGTATCCCTATCTGATATCTGGATGGCCACTGGTAATGCTGAAAATCACCGTAGTATTCTATACTACATAAGGTGAGAGCCACGATCTTCTGGTGCTTCTACAGTGGCATCCCCTTTGCACACTGAACACAAGTACTGCAGATCTGTCTCCTCTATTGCCAAAAACCAACAGGCGTGCTGGTAAATGTGGTTCAGTGGCTTTTAACTTGTAAAGTTCTACTTTTATTCCACAGGACTTGTGTTCAAGACTGGTTAACCACCTAGTGTTGATTCAATTAGCTACATGCCCAGCCCAGCCAGGCCATCTTCCTTTCTATTTAACCACTTGCCTACAGGGCACTTTTACCCCCTTCCTGCCCAGGCCAATTTCCAGCTTTCAGCGCTGTCACACTTTGAATGACAATTGCGTGATCATGCAACACTGTAGCCATATGAAATTTTTTATCATTTTTTTGTGACAGATAGAGCTATATTTTGGTGGTATTTAATCACCTTTGGGTTTTTTATTTTTTCTTAAACAAGCCGAAAACCACTGAAAATGTTGAAAAAAAATGTTTTTTCTTAGTTTTTGTTATAAAATTTTGTAAATAAGTGATTTTTCTCCTTCACTGATGTGCGCTAATGAGGCTGCAGTGATGGACACCGATAGGTGGCACTGATGGGCACTGATGAGGAGGCACTGGTAGATGGCACTGATGGGCATTGACAGGCATCACTGATGGGCACTGAAAGGCAGCACTCATATACGGCACTGATAGGCGGCACTGACTGGCACTGATAGGCGGCACTGACTGGCACTGTTAGGTGGCACTGTTAGACGCACTGATAGGCAGCACTGACGGGCACTGATAGGCAGCACTGATGCACACTGATAGGCGGCACTGACTGGCACTGATAGGCGGCACTGATTGGCATCACTGATAGGTGGCTCTGACTGGCATTGATAGGTGGCATTGACTGGCACTGATGGGTTACACTTAAAGGCAGCTCAGATGGGCACTGATATGTGGCATTGATGTGCACTGGTGGGAACTGATATGTGGCATTGATGTGGCACTGCCAGGTGGCATGGTTGAGCACTGACAGCTGGCACTGATGGGCACTGACAGGTGGCACTGCTGGGGCTACACAGATCATCAGGGCACACTGATCATCAGTGCCCTGATGATCAGTGCACGTGTCCCCTCTGAGGGATGCTGATTACCGGCTCTGCTCTCCTCTCGAGCTGTCAGCGTGACAGCTCGTGAGGAGAGAAATTATCATAACTGGCATTTCCCTATTTACATGTGAACAGCTGTGATTGGACACAGCTGATCACATGACCAAACCGACATCTTCAGCTCTTTCCATTGATCGGTGATCTGCTGTGTCCTGAACGACACAGCGCACCACCGATCGCCACGCTGCACGATTAGAATGGGACAACATCATATGACGTCCTCCCAGAACGAGAGAACCGCCTTGTGCCCGTCATTGTACTATATGGCGGACAGGAGGTGGTTAAAGTGTAGGTGTGTTTATGCATGTATTTTATAAAGCTTAGTCTCCATCATCGTCGTGTACTTCCATTTGAAGTGTCTGGTTGATCCTGCTGGTCGCCTTTCTTCCTTGCTTTAAACCAAGGGTCTCAAAACTTTCTAATCAAAGGGCCAAGTTTACTGTCCTTAAGACATTAGGGGGCCTGCGGATATCATTGGGAGTAAACAGTGCTACATCTTTGGTAATAGGGGGAAGAAAAGTGCCCCTTTGTTGGTTTTAGTGGGAGCAGTAGTGCCCCACCAATCCTGTCAGAGGGAGAAATTGTACCCCATCATTAGTGCCAGTGGCAGGAATAGTGCCTCAAATTCTTGGTGTTAGCAGGAGGATTAGCAAAGGGCTGCATCTGGCCCCTGGGCCACAGTTTGGAGACCACTACTGTTAACTAACCACACAAAGCACAGAAGCTGAACTGTGATAGCGTGGTCAGATTTCATCCTTTACATGTACAGGACACTGCGCAGACACACACAGCATGTCTGTCTTGGGTAGTTTGTTCAGCCATGACTATAGAGAAAAATCCATGCTCAGATTATGTGTACCAAAAAAGCAGCCAGTACAAAATGTAGGATACCAAAACCTATACCAAATATCAATGTAAAGTGTGCAGCACTCACTTTATATGGACTAAAGCAGGGGTCCTCAAACTTTTTAAACTGGGGGCCAGTTCACTGTCCCACAGACCGTTGGAGGGCCAGACTATAGTTTAAAAAAAAAGTTAATGACACCCGCAGTTTTTTGTTCACATGTTATGGCCCCATGTCACTGAACCCCCCCCCCCACATGTCAGTGTCTTCCCCATGTCACTAACCCCCACACATGTCACTGGCCCCCCACATGTCACTGTCCTCTGCATGTCACAGCCCCCCATGTCACTGACCCCCGCACATGTCACTGTCCTCAGCACATGTCAGTGGCCCCCCACATGTCACTGTCCTCCGCATGTCACAGCCCCCCCATGTCACTGACCCCCGCACATGTCACTGTCCTCAGCACATGTCACTGGCCCCCCACATGTCACTGTCCTCTGCATGTCACAGCCCCCCCATGTCACTGACCCCCACACATTTCACTGTCCTCAGCACATGTCACTGGCCCCCCACATGTCACTGTCCTATGCATGTCACAGCCCCCCATGTCACTGACCCCCACACGTCACTGTCCTCAGCACATGTCACTGGCCCCCACACATGTCACTGTCCTCCGCATGTCACAGCCCCCCCATGTCACTGACCCCCACACATGTCACTGTCCTCAGCACATGTCACTGGCCCCCCACATGTCACTGTCCTCCGCATGTCACAGCCCCCCATGTCACTGACCCCCACACATTTCACTGTCCTCAGCACGTCACTGGCCCCCCACATGACACTGTCCTCCGCATGTCACAGCCCCCCATGTCACTCACCCTCACACATGTCACTGTCCTCAGCACATGTCACTGACCCCCACACATGTCTCTGTCCTCAGCACATGTCACTAGCCCCCCACATGTCAGTGTCTTCCCCATGTCATGGCCCACCCCATGTAACTGTCCTCTCTGCGATCCATGATGCTCCCCAATACGCATCTTTGATCCATCTTGTGGAGCATCGGCGGCTAGTGATCCGCGGGATGAGCGGCGTGTGTAAGTGTAATCAGCGGTGCAGCAGAAATGGGGTTAACTGTGACAGCTCTGTGCTATGGTTGTTGCTTGGCGATCGGCTACTTCTGCCGAAAACCGTGACATGAGCAGATGCGTCAGGGACACACATCTTCATAGGGGAACTCATCTTGCCGCTGCGTCATGCTGGGAACGGCCGTAGTTTGAGGACCCCTGGACTAAAGAGTCCATGTGCTCATTGTGTGACATACACGAAAATAAACATGAAAAACACTTATAGTGAAATAAACAACATTTTGTGCCTAAATCAAGTATTGTAAAAGTCCACACGTACGGTATGTGTACTTATGTGCTCAGTAGAATGTCCACACTGTGCAGATAGATGGTTCCACTTTCAAGAGAATGCCCGAGGTATCCAGTGAGGACAGAAAACATAGAATTCTTACAAAACATCTATGGCCCTCCTATTTTGTGAGTGGCTATAAGTGCTTGAGGGACTCATCTCAATAGTGCTCCAAGAAGAGGTGTGTTCTGGCTTCCCTTTGAACTTGACTCATGCAGTAAAGGAATACAAGAACAAACAAAACCTGATAACAGGCGGAGCCAGTACGTCGTGACGTCACGCTGCCGGAGCCACGTGGTAAAGGCCCGGCGGTCCATCATGGTATCTGGACGGTCAGTCCATTTCACATTGCTGTTTTTACTTGCCCTTATCCTGCTGTTTTTTTATATATGCTTTAATAAATTTCTACAATGATTGAAATACTACACTATGGGCACTATTCTTTGGCTTCCTATGTGGAGCAACTAATTTCCAGAGCCACTCAGATCCAGTGCTGTATAATTATCCAGAGAGGAGATCCTGGTATATAGACTTCCACATCCATCAACCCCTTAAAGGGGCCTTCGGCTGCCTGGGTTCATCTCCTTCTGAGAGCTCCTACAGCACCACCTACATGCAAAAGGAGGATCTTCCCTGTCCAGGACCACATCCAATACCTAGAGGGGACCATTTCTGCTTTAATGCGCATTAACATTGCGCATCTGGTGATGCGTACTCTTACCATATCATTTTGGGAGCACCGACACTGGATCGTGATTGTTACTATATGCACCTAGACCTGCACGGACTGTCACTTTGAGATTATTTGCGTAATTTACATTTATTATCGACATTTTAGCGTTGCACTTTATTTATTTGATTGATGAAGGTTTTATATTGGTTACCTTTGGAGGGGAAGGGGGGGAGTTGGAGTGTTAGATGGACTGGAAGATTTACAATAGATATATTAAAGGATAAGTTCACCTTTTACGAAAAATAATAAATCCACATATTTTTGCAGACTAAAATTGTGTATTTATTTTTTTTTACACTGGGGTCTGTAAGGCATTGCACCTGCGATCATCAGATTGTGGATGCAATGCCTGGATCTTGCAGACACTCAGCACAACTGTCTCATACCTTTCTCAAACCTTATAAGGGGAAGGAATTTACTGAATGACAGGAATAATCAATGGACTACGACAGCGCTCACCTTCGCCCTCGCAGTTCATTAAGAACTACAAGCCGTAAGTCTCAGAGGCCGGAGGTACATGTCATTCATTCATTCACAGGACACTGTGAATGCATTATGCAGCTGTGGGCGGAGTTTCTCATGGCCACGCTGTTTTTAAATTGTGACACTGGGAAAGGATCCTTCGCCCTCTGTCACAGGAAAGGGGGATAGAGAGGGAGAGGAAGGAGGAGCTGGAGCATGTTACAAATTCCACCCTAAATATAACATGTTCCAAAGTTGAACTTAGCCTTTTACAAACTGAAGCCAAACTCCAGCTACCACGTTATAAGCAGATACAACTACAGTTTGTTTCCTTTTGGGATATAGGCTTACCCAAATAAATAAAAGCTGATTGTTGTAAGCACCCCTGTCAGTGGTGAATGGTTGTCTCAAACCTCTAACTGATACATCTGCAGGACAATTTGTTCTTTTGAAAAACAACAGGCTTACTAGCCAGATCAGCAGGTGAAAATGAAGGCCTTAAAAAAAATGAATGCAGCCATCATATCTACGAATTAGTAAGTTGCAGTGTGTTAAATGTTTGCTTTTGGGTTTAATACTGCTTAAAGTTTTCTAAGCAAAACATACATTTGATCTAATATGTTCACTAAAGAAACCACACAAGTCTTATGCCTTCATTTTTATGGTGCCTACCGCGTATGACCACAAAGGTTAAATGATTTACAATACTGCTGAGCCTCCTCTGTTGTCTTCTGGTAAAGAAATGACAGATGGGTACTGAAGACCTCCACAAAAGACCAAATGCCATCCCTTACATTGTTCTCCGGCTTGTGTCCTACAGCATGCAGAGCAAGCATTGGTAGGAAATGAAGTGGAAGAAGCAGGTGCTGCTGTACAATTCTACAGAAAGAAAGATTATGCTGACTTCTTTTCACACTTCCAGCTTGGCATACCAACTTAGTGTAAATGAGCAGCTCTGCTGTATATAAATGATATAGGACTGTTTGTATGTAGCTTTCAAATGTCCCTCACTTGGAACCGAATCCCTCTGTCCCTCTTTCCTCCTCAGTTGTCAATCTTTTCAGTCTGATGTGTAGATCTCTATAAGAAATATGTGAAACTAAACCTTGCATAGAAAGTCTACATGAATGCATTTGTCATTTTGAAAAGCCATAGAAAGAATAGTGGCGAAAAAAAAACCACATATGGTTTTACCAGTCATTCCTCAAATATTGATTCTTACTGATCCATGTAACCAGTTGCTGTGTCCTTTGCCAACATACTTAAGGCTAAGGTTACATGTACACTGGAACTGCCATAGACATGAATTCTACTGGCAGCAGAAAAAACGCTAAATGCGGCAAAAACATGTGTAAACGTGGTACCGCATTTACCCTCATTTAGTGCTTGGACGCTTGGCCAGAGTACTTACATATGAATAGAATAAGCGCTTAGGTATGTTTACACGTGTTTTTGCTACATTTGGCATTTTTTTGGCCAAAACGATCCTCTCCTGAATGCATGTAAACACTTGGATTGTGGTAACCAGCATACAGCCAAGCCTGTCATTGATGTGCATAGGCCTGTGTTTTGCAAGTGCAGAAATATGTTCGTTTTTACAGTGTATAGTCCCCTGCACCCATGAGAATGACTCCTATGAGGTGTCCTTATGTCCCATCTCGGAGAGTTTGGAGGTGCAGTATGCTTGTACAATATCCATGCACAATGTGATACACTATTGGTACTATCTTTAGTAAACTAAATTTTTATTTAAT